AAGAAAGCTCAAGGTATGAGAGAGGAAGGAGAGGATTTCAGGGGCCAGCCACCCAGCTACACAGCAAGCCACAGAATAAGAAGAAAGGTATACAGAAATAGAGAAATATAAAAGCCCAAAGGCAAAAAGATAGGATAATTTAAGAAAAGCTGGCTAGAAATAATCCAAGCTAAGGCAGGGCGCTATAAGAAGGAATAAGCCTGGTGTGATTTCTTGGGGAGCTGGGTGGCAAGCTCCACAAAAGCCAAGAGTAAAAACAACAAGATAACTTTTTTTTTTGTTTCAGCTAAACCCTACTATTCCTAGACAACCTAGCTTAAAACTCATTTACTTTCTCCACCCGCTATTTATTGACTATTTTACCCCATTAACCTGACGACCATGTTAGCATGCCAGTAGCCACACCTGGACTTAACAGAACAAGCATTTACATTTCCAGGGACTAGAGGATGTCTGTTAGTGGGTGTAGAGGGTTTGCCTAGTATGCACAAGTCTCAGAGTTCAATCCTCAGTACCACAAAACTGAGTATATATGCAAGTGTTTCCCACAAACAAAACACCAATCTGATGCTCGGGTATAGTTTGGATTAACCAATTCCATTTCATGTTTTAAACGAATCAAGTAACCTTACATTAGGGAACACAGGTGGATTTTATCTGAACACATTATTTTGAGCAATCTTTAACAAACTCACAAAGGAAATTTTGTATTAATTTGTATTTTAAGTTTAAAGGAGCATTGAACAGTAATAAGGATTATTTTGAACATCTTTGGGAGACTGAAGATTGCAATTTAAATTTATTAGGGCCAATGAGATGGCTTAGTGGGTGCTGGTGCCTGCTCCCCAGGCTGATGACCCGAGTCCCAGTTCTGATAACCACATACTGGAAGGAGAGAACCAAATCCCACTGTAGTCCTTCTGATCTCCATATGCACCCCATGGCATACACATGGCCATACACAAACACGAGCACACAATGAAAAAGACATAAATTCATTTATTTCTGGTATTATCTCACTTGCCCTACTAAGAAAAAAAAAGACAGATTGGAAATCTTGCAAAAGAACATTTTAAAAGTTCATTCTTATTTTTAATGAGATGACTGATCATGTACTTTTTCTACTGTAACATGTTTCCTTTGTGTAGTAATTTGAGGCAAATTCCTGTTCTTGCAAGAGCAAACCCCTCTACTTTTACCCCCAGCCTCTATTCACCTTCATGCCTTAACTAGGTCAAGCATTCCCTTAATAGTTTTAATGGAAATTCTCATCACAATCATCTCAAAGATGTAATGTCATTCTCGTCCAACAAATGTTAGAATTTTGTTCCATAATTCCCAATCCACCTGTTTCCATGATCTGTGATTTCAGTCTTTATATATCATTACTTTCTTACATATATATTCTATATACCAAGTAATGCTGTTAGTTAGTCATCCTTCTGAAATACCCCAAGGTTTTTGATTTTTGGAGGGACAGGATCTCACTGTGCAAACCCGCAGGACCTGGAACAATTATGAAGACCAAGCCATCCTCAAACATAGTTCTGTCTGTCTGCCTCTGCCTCCCCAGAGACAGGTGTCACCACACCCAGCCTTCAGTCTTAATTATTAGTAGAGATATGCCTCTCTGCTTGGGTTTGTGCATATGAGTGCATATGGAGGCCAAGAAAGGACACTGGATCCCCAGGAGCTGGAGTTACAGCTTATTGTGATCTACTAATGTGGGTGCTAAGAGCTGTGCTGGTCCTCTACAAAAACAATAAGTACTCTTAACCACTAAGACATCTCTCCAGATGGAATTTTTTTTTTAAATTGTGAGTGTATGAATGCAGATGTGTGTAGCCCTTGAGCTTTCTAATTGTGTTAGTCCATGTTGTACCTAGAACTCATATGTTTACTGCAAGTTTTTTAAAGGAATACCAATACACACACACACACACACACCCCAATGTATACCAAGATACCAGTATATACCAATAATATCAATATATACAAACACACACTATAAAAAATTCCCTGGAGCCAGAGATGTCAGAGGATAAAGTGATTGTGTTTATGAGGCCCTGAGTTCAGTCCCCAACACTGATGGCATATGTCTGTAATCCCAGAATTTAGGAAATGAAAGCAGAAGAATCAGTTTAGGCCAGTCTAGGCTGTACATGAGACAGTGATTCATAACAAACAAAAAAAATTTCAAAAAAAAAATCCTTGAAGCTGATTCAAGCAAGAATTACCACCTGACATAGATCTTTGTGTCTGTAATGTGATATTTTAATAATCCTAAAGTATCTTGCCTTAAAACTACTTTTTAAATTGAAAATATTTATTTCTATGTATGTGTAGGAATGATGTTTGTGTGGGCTGTGTGCCACGGCACATATATTGAGGTCAGAGAACAACTTCTTAGTACTAGTTATCTCATTCCACTCTTTACATGGCTTCAGGGAATCATACTCTCTCCACTAGGTCAAGTGCCATTACCCAAAGAGCTGTCTTTCCAGCCCCGAAGTACTTTGGAATTTTTTCTAAAGATTTATTTATTCATTACATATACAACATTCTGCCTTCATGTATGACTGTATGCCAGAAGAGGACATCAGATCTCATTATAGAGGCTGTGAGTCACTATGTGGTTGCTGGGAATTGAACTCAGGACCTCTGCAAGAGCAGCCAGTGCTCTTAACCTCTGAGCCATTCATTGCTCCAGCTCTACTTGGAATTTTAAAAGAAGTTGAAGAAATTTTGCGTAAAGACCATATAAAAAGATTAGCATCACTAATAAGGGCAAATACTATATACTTTCAGCTGTGACACCCTAGAAGAGATTCTGATAGCTTAAGAAGCATTCAAGTAAAATCTGTGTTACGGTGGAGCAGGGTAGATTTGTACAAGCATGAGTACCTGAGTTCAGATCCTAGCACACTTGTTAAATACTGCTGTAGCAGCTCAGTCCCTGCACTGGTAGGTGGAGACAGAATGATTCCTGGGGCTTGCTGGCCAGCCACCCTAACTAGTTGGTAAGCCCTCAAACAGTAAGGTGAAAGTGATAGACCTTAACACTGATGTCAACCCCTGGTTCCTCATGGGGTGGTGTGCATGCACATACACAGCCTTAGGAAGAGAGAAATCCAAACCAATGCTACCATATAAAATAACAACTCAGGGTTGTTTTTGTTGTTGTTTTTAAAAAATTCTGTAAAATTAAAGACTGCAGATTTTTTTTTCACATTGAAATGAGGGGAGGAAGAAGAGCAGACTAAATATAGCACATGATCCTTTGCTGAATCTCAAACTGGAAAAAATCTAAAAGATTATTAATAGTTGAGAGGTGTGGCACACACCTTTAATCCCTGCACTGAGAATCAGAGGCATGTGTGCGATTCCCCTCTGTATGCTGTGAATACCATTGGGGAATAAAGAAACTGCTTTGAGCCTATAGCAGAGCAGGACAAAACTTAGGTAAGTGGGGGGGGGGTACACTAAACTGAATGCTGGGAGGAAAAAGGTGAAATCAGGAAGAAGCCATGGAGCCTCTGCGAGAGATAGACATGCCGAAATTTTGCCTGTAAGCCACTGCCATGTAGTGATACACAGATTAATGGAGATGGGTTAAATTAATATGTAAGAGTTAACCAATAAGAAGCTAGAGCTAATGGACCAAGCAGTGATTTAAGTAATACAGCTTCTGTGTGATTATTTTGGGAGTTTGAGCAGCTGGGAAACAAACAAGCAGGCCTCCTCCAACAGAGGCAAACAGATATGAGTTCAAGGCCAACCTGGTCTACAGAGAAAGTTCCAGGACAACCGCTGCCATAGAGAGAAACCCTATCTCAAAATGAACAAATAACAATGAAAAAAGATTAGACATATTTCTCCCTTAAAATTCCTCTCCTGGGAGTTCCTCCATGTCTACTTTCATTCAGCTGGAAAAAAAAAAAAGAGAGAGATTATTTAGAACAAGTGATGAAATTAGAACGTGGACGTGGACTATGAAACGAATTTTGTAGGTTATTTTTTATTATTTTAAAAAAGTTTTGGGGGGGGGGGCGGAACTGGAGAGATGCCTCAGTGGTTAAGAGAACTGACTGCTCTTCCAGATGTCCTAAGTTCAATTCCCAGCAACCACATGGTGGCTCACAACCATCTATAATGAGATAGGGTGCCCTCTTCTGGCCTACAGGCAGGATATAAACAAATAAATAATTTTTTTTTTTTTTTTTTTTAAAAAAAGCTTTCAGGAACTAGAGAGATGGCTCAGAAAGTAAAAGCATGGGCTGCTCTTCCAGACAACCCTGGTTTGATCATTAGCCACATGGAAGCTCACAATCATCTATAACTCCAGTTACTAATGCACTCTTCTGGCCTCCAGGGGCACCAAGCATACATGGTACATAGTTATATGTACAGAAAAATTGACATCCATACATATAAGATAAAAATAAATCTAAAAAGATTATAAAATAGCTTGCATTCCAAGAATCCACCCATATCCCTGTATCTAAGGATAATGTACTTATTATGTACCTGAAAAGAAAAACTGGAACGACTAAATGATTTAAAAGAATAAATTAATAATGCTCCAAACATTCAAAGAAATTATTACTACTTACCATCATTGAAAAGCAAGATTTGGGCTATCACCAATTTTTCAGAAAGGCTTCAAGTACTTAACCACTGAACTTAAAACTTTTTAGATACCAAAGGATATAATTACTTAATAAAATAAATTTGACCTAATTTTTACACACACAAAAATATACAAAACTCTGCCAGGTATAGTGGCGCACGTGCGTGTATGTGTGTGTGTGTGAGAGAGAGAGAGAGAAAGAGAGAGAGAGAGAGAGAGAGAGAGAGAGAGAGAGAGAGAGAGGTATGTGTGTATCACTTGAGCAGAAGCAGGAGGATAACTCTGAGTTTGAGACCAGCCTGGTCTATATAGCAATGTCAGGCCAACTAGGGCTATACAGAAATAAATAAATAAATCCACATACTGTCTATTGAGTTTTAGTGACACTAATAGCTTTATTTAACAAATACTGAGCGACTACTATATGCAAAACACTATGCTAGGTGCCATGAAAGATACAAAGGTGAAAGACATAGACCCTGCCCACCAGGAGCGTATAATCTAATGAGGAAGACAGACATATACACACATAACTACAATACAAGGCAGTAAACAAGAATAGGCAAGTGCTGAGTGTGGCCTGAGTGTAATATTAGCCTTAAGGTTCGAATTTTAAACACTGAAGTGTTGACTGCTTTGAAAATCCCAGATTAGTATAACAGGTGTTTAAATGGTCCAATCCAAACAGTTGTAGTCAGGAGTAGGCCTGGTGGAGGGGCTGCTTGAAAGCACTGTCACATCTACATACAGGGCTGACACAAGTATGTAGGAACAGGTAAAAGAATTTGTGTGTTATATGTGTGCGTGCACGCGTGTGTGTATATATACATCTGTCCTTTGGTTAATGGCTATAGCTACTGTTTTAAACAATATACTTTTATATAAAAAGGAATTTGTATAATCCCAGAAAAATCAATTTAAGGAGTAGGATTAATTTAAGAAAAAATCCTTCCATAGGCAATTTATTTACTAATTGAGTCTTTAAATATCTATAAAGCTCTGGAGCAATTAAATGGTTAGATTTCTAAGTATTGCTGAGTAAAAACCTCTTATGTAAGTTTAGCCTTCTGAAGGAAATGGTCACATACCTGATACAACACTACTCTAATAGCAATAAGAAGGCCTTGAAGAGATTTAAGGAAAATAATCTTTAATGCTTCAATGCAAATGGAATACACGCTGATTAAATACAATTCAGTGTTCTTTGAAAATATCTGTGACAGCATTTGATACCAGTTAAGGCCAGCAAAACAGAAGTGAGGAAATTATTGTATCATCTTTCATTGGTTTCATTACCATTGCCTGTGATTATGCAACCCAATCTTTTCTTTCAAAATGTCATTTGTTGGTATTGATGAGATGTGATTTATAAATTCTGATTTTCTTTTAGCTCACAAGCGAGGAACAGCTGCTGACCACTTCCTCTTGCTATACTGTCTGAAATAACTGGCAAAACAGAAACACATTTCCTGGCTGCTTTCCTACTTCCTGAATTGGATGGTCCACTGCTTAGCCTGTTTCCTTCAATGTGTCACTGTGGTCCTGGGTTCTCTGCTGCTTTCTCTCAAGGAAACGAGCCCGTGCATCTGAGATAGATTTGTCATCATTTCTTCTTTGCATTTTCTTTAGAGCTTCTTTTGATATTCCATCTGAAAAAAGTGCAAAGATATCCTGATTTTCAACATTAAGAAAAATGGGTTAGGAAGATGGTTTGGTAGCATGCACTTGTATAGCAAAATCAGAGGTGGAGACAGGCAGATACCAAGGAGCACCAAAGCCAGCTAGCCTAGAGTACACTGTAGCAAACAAAGACCCTATAATCACCAATAACTGAAGCTGCCCTCTGACCTCTGTCCGCATGCACACACATATTCACATATGAATACTTGCACATCATAAACATACAAATTTTTTTTTTTCAAGACAGGGTTTCTCTGTGGCTTTGTAGCCTGTCCTGGAACTAGCTCTTGTAGACCAGGCTGGCCTCGAACTCAAAGATCCACCTGCCTCTGCCTCCAGAGTGCTGAGATTAAAGGTGTGCGCCATCACCACCCTGCTACAAATATGTTTTTTAAAGAGAAAAGATCATCAAGGTAATTAAATGTTGTCTTGATTAAAGTCTGGCTGAAAGAGCACACAGGTGAGGATGCTGAGCTCAGTGGTACAATGTATACTTCACACTAACAAGACTCTAGGACTACCACTACAATAACAAAAAGTACATGGGCCAGCAGGTAAAGGTGCTTCCTTCTAACTCTGTCAACCTAAATTTAATCACCAGGATCCATGTGACGGGAGAAGGCTAACTCTCACAAGTTGTCCTCTGCCCAAACTTATATAGAAAACACACACAAATAAATAAATGTAATAAACAACAATAACAAAAAGATTCATGAAGGCCAACCAGTCAGAAAAACTAACCCTAGTTCAAGCACATAGGACAGTATTATAATACTGCAATAAAACATCTAGTGATCACCATATTTAAAAACCTTTGGATGAGCCAGGAATGGTGTTCATGTACTTGGAGATACCAGCACCTGGGAGTCAGCAGTAGATAGATCTCTGTGAACTTAGGCCAGCTAGGTCTACTTAGCAATTGTCCAGTCAGCCAGAGTTACATGGTGAAGTTCTATTTCAACAAGAAACCTTTCTGTGACTTCTTGAGCAACATGTTCTACCATCTATTTCCCAGGGATGTTGAATATAATACAATTCATCATTCTGCCTCAAAAAGTTGTGTCAAAAAGCTTTTAATGTATGTGAGATAATTGTGTTTTATACTACAGTTCATCACCACAACTGTTTATATCTTCCATCTATAGTCCTAACTGCTCAGAAAACTTGTTAGAAAAATAGAAATTTGGAGGTAATAAGTCACAATATTTGATAAAATAAAAACAGTAAGTAAAACTGGGAAAAATAAAACTTAAAAAAATGAGCCAGGCAGTGGTGGTGTACACCTTTAATCCCAGTACACAGGAGACAGAGGCAAGCAGAACTCTTGAGTTCAAGACCAGCCTGATCTACAGAGCAAATTCCTGGACAGCCAGGACAATTCCTTGACAGAAGAACACTGTCCAAAACAAAACAAAAACACTGGGAGATGACAGTTTCAAAGTTAAGAGAACACCAATAATCCCAGGATTCAGGATGCTGAGATCACAGGGTTACCACAACTTTGAGGCTACTCTGGTCTACAAAGTAAACCCCATCTCAGAAAAATAGTAGAACAAACAATTCACTCACCCTTTAGCTGCTTCACATTTTCCTTATTTGTCCATTTTCTTCTTGCATCTTCTCTCATTTCACGTCTAGCCACACTGCTTAAATCATGTGCATTAAGTTCGTGTAACTTGGGTAGTAAGTCTCTCACCCATTCATAACGGATTGGACATACAATTCTTGCATAGACTTTGGTGGTAACTAATACTTCGTGGAAAATAATCCATTCAAGTTTGGTTTCCTGTTCATGAAGCTATAAATAAATATAAGGCTTAAATGAATACAAAAATTTCATTTAAGGATAACTATTAGTAATCAGCCCTATTCTACATTAGAGCAAGAAAATAAGGAAAGCCAGGACTATAAAGAGAGACTCTGGCTCCAAAATAAAAAGAAGATAATATCCTGAAATCTGAATGTTTATTTTCTTCCTATAAAACAGAAGTCATAGCTGGGCAGTGGTGGTGCAAGCCTTTAATCACAGCACTTGGGAGGTAGAGGCAGGCAGATCTCTGAGTTCAAGGCCAGCCTGGTCTACAAGAGCTAGTTCCAGGACAGGCTCCAAAGCTACAGAAAAACCCTGCCTCGAAAAGCAAACAAAAAAACCCCAAACAAACAAAAAACAAAAGTCATATGCCAACCAATACCTTTAAGCTCTACATAAAAGAGATGTAAAAATCTGAAATGAAAACTAGAAGACACTGGTATGTTAGTACTACACTTTTATAAAAGCCCACCTTTTATTGAAAATAAGATGAATTAGGGCTGGCAAGATGGCTCAACTGGCAGAGTTGATTCCCCGTGGTGGAAGGAGAAAACTGACTCCTGCAAGTTATTTTCTGGCATTAATGTGTGTGCCTCTCCACACTCCCCAAAAATGTAATTAAAAAAAAAAAAGGCACTTTAAGGGCAGGGGATGTAAAATTCCTGCCTTACATGTGCAAGGTCCCCGGTACTACAAGAGAAAACAGAACAAAAAAATAAAAATTAAAAATAAAAAACCCACAAAGGCAATTGTTGCAAGGCAAGGTGATGTAAACCTTTAATCTCACTACTTGGGAGGTAAAGGCAAAAGAAGCTTGAATCGAGCCTGAGCTACACAGAGATCCTATTTCAAAAAAGGAAAAAAGTACTTACTGCTGAGGAAGGGTGAATATGAACTGGACTTCCACGCCCATCCATTGTGCAAAACGTTCTGCCAACAGATCTATACATAGGAAAAACAAAGGATAAAATAGCAAAGCAATAAGTTAACTGTTATATAATATTTTACTACTAAATCAAGCAGAAGTTTACCTGGGGAAGAAGAACCATTTAAGTAACAAACAATATTGTCACAAGAGCTAGTTTAAAGGAGCCATATAAACACTTGCCCAAGCTCAAATTATATATTCTCCTAATGAGTATCTATACAGTAAGAACCTTTTTTCATCACAATTCTAAAGAAAGGAAGCTGTTATTACAGAAGAGATTTAACTAGTGGGTTTATACCTTATACCTTTAAAAATACATATTGATGCATGTGGGCAGGGGTGCATGCATGCTTTGTCATATGTGGAGGCCAAAGGACAACTTTGGAGTCAATTCACCTTCTACCCTTATTTCAGTTCCAGGGTTCAAACTGATCTCATCAGGTTTGCAAGGCAAGCATCTTTATCCACTGAGCCATTTTACCAGCCCTACAATTATATGTTTATGTGAAAGTAACTTCAGAATGTTAGCTCATCTCAACATTTTCTTCAATAATTTTGTATGTGTGTGCATGTGCCCATGCATATAAATAGGGAGACCAGAGGTCAACTTTATTTTTTAAGACAGGGTCTCTCTGTGACCCTGAATCTCATTTTGAAATAAACTAAATTTACAGAAAATTACTACATAAAGGACAAAATAATTTTTTTACTAGAAATACTGAGCAGTAAATTGCCAATCCAATACCTCACCGGTGCATTATTACCAAATGCTTGCCATTTTCCTTCCTAGTTAAGCCTCCAAACCAGAAAATTAACACTGATGCATTATTATCATCAAATCCTAAGACCCCACTGACATATCACCACTGTCCTAATAATATCTTTTAAAGCAAAACGACTCAATTAAGAATCAGCACCACCTTTATTTTTCACATCCTTCATGCTGGAACATTTGCTCATCCCGACTTTCATAGTGGTATCACTGTTCCCAGGCTCTCTCAGATGATAGTGCCAGGAAACCAGACATAAGCCACTATCCCTGCCAACTCTGAGAATATCTAATTCCTTTCGCCATTATCCTTACAATATTTACTTATGTGATCCATTACCAGTGTTCCTACTTTCCTTACAAAGATACCCTTATTTTAACCCATCTTAATTGAGTCCTGATAGTCCATATATCTAAGCTTTGCCAGGGATGCCATTGTCTTGTTTGGCTCTTACATTCTACCTGGGGCCACAAAACTACAAAAACCCTTGTCATTTGCTTTAGATGCTGACACATCTGCCTAGTATGCACTCTTTTCCTATCCTGCCTTGACTCCAGTACCCCACTTTGAATCACAGTACTTCCCTGTGCACAGATGACAATTATGAAAAGATTTCTTATAATTGTTATCATCACCACAGAACCTATAGCAAATCTTCAATCTTTAAATATTTTACCACTGCAATTAGATACAGTAGTGTTTATGAGTTTTCTCAAGCATAATGCTCACCTTCGAGCAACATTTTTGAAGTAGCCTGCACAAAGACATCTTCGTAGTACTTCATGTTTAGGCCCTTCAAAAGTCTCTCTTGGGAAATCACTTTGCTGTAGAAAGAATATGTATTCAGTGAAAAAGATCACAGGACAATATGATCTAATTTTTTTTAAAGTTCACATTCCTAAAAGCTTCTGGGTAATATATTGTAAGAAGGATTAGATTTAGCCTTGTACCCAAAATAGTCAAAAGACACACAGTATAAAATAATTGACAGAATACTATGTATCAGGCAACAAAAGGAGACAAAGACCCAAGAGACAGGAAATTCATACCAATAAAAATTCTGACTATGGCATAAGAAAGAAAATCCAAAACCAGGTTGTGGTGATGCATGCCTTTAATTCCAGCACTGCGGGGTGAGGGGGGCAGAGGTAGGTGGATTTCTGTGAGTTCAGGCCAGCCTGGTCTACAAAGCAAGTTCCAGGACAGCTGGGTTATACAAAGAAAACCAGTCTCAAAAAAAAGGGAAAAATCCAAATGGAATCCAGAAGGAAACAAAGCCAAGAGACTGAAAAGACCAAAGTGGCTGGAATTTGGAGGAAAGAGTAAATTCAGGAGAGCTATTCAGAAACAACATTGGAGATCTGCAGAAAATAAGTATCTGCCCAAGTAATTAACCTCCCAGAAAAACAAGAATGCTTAGAATCTCAGAGCTAAGAATGATGCTATAAAACAAAACAAAACCTTCTAAGGCCTGGTTTTGGATAGAGTATCTAGAAGGGGATTACCTTTAATACCAGCACTTCGGAGGCAGAGGCAGCAGATCTCTGACTTTGGGGTGGTCCTAAGATATATATGGAGTTCCAGGCAAGCCATTGTTACATATGTCAGACACATATACACAAAAAACAAAACAAAACCTGCACATAAAATATCATGAAACATTGAGAGGTATATATATTATTTTTAAAATACTTAAATTATGTAAATGTGTATGCCTTCATGAATATGTGCAGGTGAGTACAGTAGAGAGGTCAGAGGCAACGGATTCCTGGGAGCTGGAGTTACAGGCAGTTATGAATCACCTGATGTGGTACTGGGAACTCATGTGCAAGAGCAGTATGTGTACAGTCTTTCCTGCACGATTCTTCTTTCTTCTTTTCTTTTTAGACAGATTCTATTAAGCCTTGGCTAACCTGGAAACATAAACTAGGCTGTCCTCAATTAACAGAGATCCATCCACCTGCTTCTGCCTGGAAGGTGTTGGAATTAAAGGTATGCACCACCAAGCCCAGCCCAGACCTGTTATCCAGATTTTAGTAATGCCTTAACAGGTATGTGTAGACGTCAAAACTTCGCAAACTGGGCATTTTTGTTAAGTGTTTTAAATGTATTTACATTTGCTTGGTGAGTGGACAGGTGGACATGCTCATGCTGAAACATAATTATGTGTGGAGGTCAGAGAACAACTTTTGGGAGTTCCTGAGATCAGACTTGGGTCGTTAGATTTGGTGGCTTGCACCCCTACCTGCTGAGTCACCTCACCAGCCTCACACGTAAAGCTTACTATGCATCAACTATTCTTCAGTACAACTATTTAAAAATATTTTCATTTCTTCAGATGTATTTCTTTACTGCTACTAGGATTCACTGGGTCAGAAAGATGGCTGTACAAAGCAACATGCAGACGGAAGGTGGCCGACTAGAAATGTACGTCATGGAAAGTTCAGTATGCCATCGACAGGCTTAAAATGCTAGTCAAGGAAACAAAACATACAAACTACAGCCATCACCTGTTTAAGTTTCCTGATCAGTTCCCGAAGCTGAGCTTCCACACGGAATGCAGAAAATAAGCACCGCCAGTGAATCCAGTGCTTTTGGCACCACGAAGCTGGAGCTCCACTACAACACAAAAATACTCGTCTTGAAAATACCTTCTATAAACAGAAGACAAAAAAGGTCCTCATTTCCTTTACTAAAAATGGACAGCAGTCATGTGTGGTATCAGGGTTAGGGTTGTTGCAACCTCAGCATTTGAGGTAAAGGCAGAAGGTTCAAGAGTTCAAGGTCATCTATCTGCCAGCTTAGGCTACAGAAGATCATCTCAAAAAAAGCAACCAAACAACAACAAACCCCAAAAGGAAACCCATAAGCAAATGAAGAGATAAGGACAAACACTAAAAAAAGTGTTTTAGAAAATATGACAAAAAAAAATATATCAGCTGGGCGATGGTGGCGCACGCCTTTAATCCCAGCACTCGGGAGGCAGAGGCAGGCGGATCTCTGTGAGTTCGAGACCAGCCTGGTCTACAGAGCTAGTTCCAGGACAGGCTCAAAAGTCACAGTGAAACCCTGCCTCAAAAAACCAAAAAAAAAAAAAAAAAAAAAA